GCAAACTAAAACCTGTGTTGTGTAGCGCAACCTGTGTCCTTTGTTTTTGGGAAACACAGATGTAGCATCACATTTAAAATCCAAAACATCCCTTAAATATTGTAAAACTTGTTTTTTCTTTTGCGAAGGTGATTTTTAGTCTGATGTAGCTTGAGCTCTTAATGTGCTGCAGTTATCCTTCTGCCTTCAATTAAAACTAATAGCTTTGTTGTTTCACTTTAAGATCAAAGATGTCCTACACTTATCTCCTGTATGCTTTAAAATGCTGTTAATAATGTTAATAATAATAATACATTTTATTTGTATGTGTCTTTCTTGGCACTCAAGGTCACCTTCCATAGTCTAGCATATAAACAGACACAATATTATATACACAGTAAAAAATAAGTGCAAAATAAAATTTAAATAAGACGGTGCAGTTGCACATGTTCAACATGTTGCTGAAGACGAACTGCTGCATAAAAATTACTCTGCACAATGAAAGTTGGAAAAATGATCAGAAAACTCCAACTTTAGTTGTAGAAGTTCAGATAAACTGATTATGGCGTTCAAATATGTCAACTTTGTAGCTTTATTGCTAATAATGTGATCCAAAAATGTATTTTATGATTATTCTATCACACATATATGCTCAGATTAGTCAAATTATCCCATGACCAGGACTAAAACTGACTAAAACCTATATATTTCTGTAACATTCCCTATTGGTTTTTATTTTTACCTATAAAAATAACCTGAGAAGCTGCAATGTCTTGATCTCTAGGGACAGTTGAGCATTTTTTTTAGTCTAACGCCTCCGCCTCATTATTTAATTAGGAGTTAACAGAACAGTAACAGCATGTCTTGGTTTATCAATTAGTTACTCCAGTTGTCTGTTAGCCTCTTTCGATCTCCCTCTTGTGGTAGCTGGAAGTATGGATGATAATCAAATACTCTTTAACTCCAAACCTCAAGAGTAATGACCAGCCCAGAAGCTCATTAATACCCAACGTGATCCCTTTCAGCGGATATACACGCTCATATGCTTCTAATGCAAATAGTCTGTTAATAATCCAGTCTGATTATACACAGAGGCATATAAGAGGGATAAGATTACAGCAGCACAGACACCATATGATGCTGTTAGATCTTTTAACTTGGAAATAAAACAAACTCTGACTTGTGATAAATACTGAAATAAAGGCTAAAATGGAGATTTCTTGTGAAATTCTTCTGCAGGAAAGAACTCGCAGCTTGTTAAGAGAATGGTACCTCCAAGATCCCTACCCCAACCCATCCAGGAAACGCCACTTAGCCCAAGCCACAGGACTCACACCAACGCAAGTGGGGAACTGGTTCAAGAACCGCCGCCAAAGAGACCGTGCTGCATCAGCCAAGAACAGGTACTTCACACATGTT